GCTATTCTAACTGGGGTTGGGTAAAATCTCAATGTGGTTTTGATTTGTATTTCTTTTATGGCTAGAGAAGTTGAGCATTTCTTCATGTGTCTATTGGCCATTCTTATTTCCTCTTCAGAGAAGACTTTTTTTAAGTCTTTAGCCCACTTGTTGATAGGGTGGTTGTTTCTTTGAGGATTTGTTGTTGCTTAATATGATGACCTAAAGTTCCAGCCACTTTCCAACACATGACCTAATTTTATTATTTTTATGAATATCATAAATATACACCATATGTTCTTTATTCACTCATTTGATATATCCCTGGGCTGGTTTCCTACTTTGGCTGTTGTAATCCTACTGCTGTAATTTTGGGTGTGTTGCTCTTTCTCTTGTATGTTCATTGACATTCATTCAGGTATATGCCCAAAGATGGTATAGTGTTCTACTTCTAATATTTTGAGGAAACTGCACATTATTTGCATGGTGTCTGGAAGAAGACTATGGAAATTTATAAAGAGCTGATTTTCATAAACACCTCTTCCCCTCATGTTCGTGCTCACTAGCATATTTTATTGCTTGGTTGCTGAATGGCTGACATTCTGATTGGCTCCCATAAAATGGGATATCAGTATCAATTATGGGGAAAAATAAGGGACATGCAATTCATATTTTAATTTAATAATGTCACAAATGACAAATAAGTTCAATTTTGTGAACATCTATATGTAGAAAAGGATTACTACAGTTGCTTAAGTGATGGATTTGTTCTGAAGATTAAATGAATTTTTATTTATAATAACACCTTGTGTGTAATATATTGTCAATTCATATTATCTACCAATTTGATTAATTGTCACAATATTTAGCGATGAGATTACTGTATGGGGGAAAAAGAGTTACTTGAATTAACATTGAAATGAAATGAAGTTGTGTCTTTTCTTTTGTTTCTTGACATTGTCAGTGAGACTGAATAGACTCCTGGTACATTAATAACTTTCCTTTTCTTGTCTTTTCTTTTTTCTTCTTTTTTTCTTTTTTCTTTTTTTCCAGTCCTGGTAGGTCCTGGGGGTTTAATTCAGCACTTGGGTGTTTTGTTCTCAAGCTCAGCATTCTATAACTTGAGCCACACCTCTATTTCCAGTTTATTTGGAGATAAGAGTCTCACAGATTATATGTCCCTCCCCCATGATATAACCCCTGTTTTCACTGTATTCAATGTTGGTATAATTTGTGGAGGGGAAGGGAAAAAACAAATTGTTTAAATAGGGATACAGGTGGACCCATTGCGACAATGAGATATACAAGACTTTGTGTCGAAAAAACGAACTTTACAACTTTGCTGGGGTGAGGGGTGGGGGTGGTGGGGGTGGAGAGGGGAAGGGATGGTATGGGGAAACGAAGGAGGAGACAACCATGTTTGATAAGAAATGTACTCACTATCTTGCCCATGTAATTGTACCCCTCTGTATGGTATTTTCACAATAATAATTTAAAAACAACAACAACAACAAAAAAAAAACGAACTTCACAACTTTGGCGCGGGGGCGGGGGGAAGGGAGTTGGAAGGGATGGTATGGGGAAACAAAGGAGGAGACTACAATGCTTGATAAGAAATGTACTCATTATCTTGCCCATGTAATTGTAACCCCTCTGTACAGTATTTTCACAATAAAAATAATAATATGAATAAAAGAGTCTCACAGACTCTTTTGCCCCGAATTAATTCAAACCATGAATGTCAGATCTCTGAAGTAACTAGGGTTACAGTTGTGAACAAAGGCTCATGGCTTATTATTAATATTATTATTATGATCTGGTAAGTGCAAATCTCATAAGCAGTAGTCCTTCCAATTTCAATTAAATAAAAATAATTGAAGATTGATAGAGACATTTAGCAAATAAGTTGTGAAGATTGTAATAGAAGTCTCTTGTATATGGGACACCCTTACTCATTTCTAAAGTCTCTGATGAATGCAGTCATTTTATAATTTTTCAGAATGTCTCTAAAACTAAGTATCTCAATAATTGATATGTGGTATTTTTAATTCACTATTTATTACAGGTTCAAAGACTTATTTAAGTTTTTCTGTTCGCACATAAAAATATGATGAAGTCAGCCCTATATTTTACAGCTAAATGAGGTAAAGCTCAGAGAGTGAGCCAACTTCCTAAATGTTTGAATTTGAACTTAACCCCTCTTTACCCAAATACTGTATCTCAATGAAAGAAGCTGTCCATTAGTTGTATATATCATACTCTCCTATTATTAAGTAGCTGCCTCCCACACACATCCCATAGCAGAGATGAACAAAGGTATTTTATTAAAAGGTATCTAATTGATTTTATTTTTAAAATTTTGTGAAATCAATAAAAAATTATTTTTGAATTTTTTATTGTGAAAATACTGTACAGAGGGGTTACAGTTACATGAGCATGGTCATGAGTACATTTCCTATCCAGCATTGTTGCCTCCTCCTTTGGTCCTTGTTAGATTGTCACAATCTTTTCCCTGGACAAGCAAAAATGGTAAAGTTCCTCAATTAATAGCCTCCCTTTCTTTTTATTATTTAATTATTACTTGTTATCTTTAAATAGTTGTACAAAGGAGTTGCCATTTAACAAAGCAGTTTATGAGTACAATGTGTCTTGATCAATGCCACCCTTTCCAACCTTCTCACCCGTCTAACTCACCCCTTCCCTTTCTTTTCTTAATTTTGACAATGAATACTTGACTGTGTTCTCCCTTCCTTCTCTTCACTCGTTTCTACCTACTCCTCTCCCCTTTGCCTCATATTAGTTAATACCCATCTCCTGGTGCTTATTTTGTTAGGCTTTAGCTTTGTCTTTCCAAGAAATTTTATTATTTGTGTTATCCCTAGAGTTATAGCCACTTGCATACCATACAAAGTGTTTATTATAGGAATAGCCTCCCTTTTTTCTTTCTTTTTGTCGGTCATAGGGCCTCAACTCTGGGCCTGGCTCAAGGCAAATGATCTACCACTTGAGCCACAGTGCCACTTCTGGCTTTTTCTGCTTATGTGGTGCTGAGGAATTGAACCCAGGGCCTCACGCAGGCAAGGCAAGCACTCTACCACTGAGCCATCTTCCCAGACCCGGAATAGCCTCACTTTCTCAAGGGATTTCCTCTATTTCGATACACTCTAATGTTTTTGTATAGGAAAACCTTTCCAGACCATATCTGTCCTATTTACTTCATTTACTTGTCTTTCCTTGCCAAACCAGTTTTCAAACTTTTAGGCATCATTTTAGAAGCTTGCTTGCTTTTCTCCATCCTTCCCAAATCATCATTTCACAGTAGATCTCCTCTTTGATGACAACTTCAAAACTTCTAATGTTTATTATCTTCTTAAAAGTTCAAATGAATTTATTCTTTGGATTTGTTTACAGAATTTGTTTTTATTATATGAATATTTGTTATCTTTAAGTACGTATTCAAAGGAGTTGCCATTCAACAAAGTAGTTTATGGATGCAATACAACTTGATCAATGTTACCACTTTCAAAATTCTCACCCATCCCTCTAACTTTGTAGGACTATACATTCAATATTTGACTGCATTAAAAAGTTTTCTGTTTTGATTTTGTTTTAGCTCAATACTAGAGATTGAACTCACACCCTTGCACTTATACTCCTTATGCTATACCCCCAGTCTTTTGATTTTAGTTTTTAAGATTTTTTTTTTTTACTTGGTCATGGGCCTGGACACTGTCCCTCAGCTCTTCAGCTCAAGGATAGCTCACTACCACTTTGAGCCACTGTGACACGCCCAGTTTTCTGATGGTTTATTGGAGATAAGCGTTTCACTGACTTTCCTTCCGGGCTGGCTTTTAACCTCCATCCTCAGATTTCAGCCTCCTGAGTAGTTAGGATTACAGACATGAGCCACCAGTGCCTGGCTGTTTTTAAGATTTTTTTTTTTTTATGATAGAGATTCATGCTAACTTTGCTCTGGATTATGTCAGACCATGATCTTACTATCACTGCTTCCTAAGTAGCTAGGGTTACAGGCATGGGACACCAAACCTACCTTATATTTTTCTCTTTCATGTAACAAATTTCTATTTATTTCTCAAAGTATCTGATATAATTTATACTATTTTTTCCTAAAATGTTTTTTCCTGGCTTTGTGGTCCCTTTCTGTGTCTGCTTAATCACTGTGATCTCCCTCTACCAGCCCATAGGTAAAGATTACATGGGAAATTATGTTGTCTTCTCTCAATCTATGCCAAAACTCCCCTCACAAGCATATACGTACACATTACTTGCATACCCCTTCCTTGAATAAACACATTGGTTAGTCACTTAATCCTTCAGTTAGAATTTGTAGCAATTCTTTTTTGGTGGGGGTTCTGGTCGTGGGGCTGAACTCTGGGCCTGGGTGCTGTCCCTCAGCTCTTCAGCTCAAGGCTAGCGCTCTACCACTTGAGCAACAGCGCCACTTCCAGATTTTTTTCTTTTTGCTTATGTGGTGCTGTGGAATCGAACCCAGGGCCTCATGCATGCAAGGCAAGCGCAATTGATTTGCTTAGACATACTTTCAACAGGTATCTATTTCAATGACAATTAGCAAGACACCAGCTTCCTAGATTAAATGTGTCTAGACTAAATGTGTCTTTAAGTTTATCCATCAGTGTCAAAATCAGTGTCTCAGGGATATATCACACCCAATCATCTGTCTTACTACAAATATCAAAGAAAGTATGGCATTATTGTGGGAAATAACTTTTGTCCCAGAAATATCTGATTTTCTAATATCTATTAATTATATAGTGATTGTGTAATATGCCTTGTTGCCTCTTTTCTGTGTAGTTCTTCATGGAAAATCAAAATGCTTATAATTACCCTGGATTTTCATTTTTTTATATGAAAGGAAGCCTAACATATCTTAGCAGTGGTGGTTTCAGTCTGTAAGTTACTGAAAACTTGAGTGTTACTGATTTTGACTAAGGACAAGTAGAAACCTTTGGGGACTCTCATGCCTTTTCTTTCTGTGTTAGACAGGACTATGAAGAACTTGAAAAGCAGTTAAAAGAAGTATTTAAGGAGCGAAGCTCCATCCTGCGTCAGCTAACAAAGACATCAAGGGAACTTGATGGAATTAAAGTGAACCTTCAGGTAAGATAAAAACTTAATTTTCACAGAAGGATAGAATGAACATTCATTCACATGATCTCCCTCAGCAAATTAGTATGCATTTTAAATAGCTTTAATAGGTTTTTGGTCTTAAACAGGCTAGTTATTGATTATTATGTAAGCATTGAAATAAGAAGTGATTTGAAATCTAGTCAAAGGGCCTGTCTTTGCAAATACATAAAGGAGCAAAGTGGATGTGGTAAAGCTACCAATTCTTCATACTTCTGACAGCAAATTGAAGCTTGTGTTTTCATATTACAATATGATAAAAATAAATAGGCCAAGAGTTGAATGGATATAAGAATGACATTTAGCCAGGCGCCAGTGGCTCATGCCTGTAATCCTAGCTACACAGGAGGCTGAGATCTGAGGATCATGGTTCAGAGCCAGCCAGGGTAGGAAAGTCGGTGAGACTCTTATCTCCAATAAGCCACTAGAAATCCAGAAGTGGTGTTATGACTCAAGCAGTAGAGTGCTCGCTTTGAGCTAAAGAGCACAAGGACAGTGCCCAAGCCCAGAGTTCAAGCCCCAGGACAAAAAATAAAAAAAAAGAGGATTTTAAATCCTCTTAAATAGTTTCGAGGATTCCATAATAAATCATAAACTTCAATAGTGTGATACATAGCTGCCTTAGATAGAAGATATATTCATGTGGTGAAATCTCAGTGGAAAAGATCAAATCGAAATTTATTTCAGATTTGAAATGTTGCTGACACATCTTTTTTCATGGCTCACAAGTGTCAATTTATTATCAATTTTTATTATAGCTGATCAATAGGTTAAATGTTTCTGTTTTTTCCTTTACTTTTTATTGTCAAAGTGATGTATAGAGGGGTTACAGTTACATAAGTAAGGTAATAAGTACATTTCTTGTCAAACTTGTTACCCCTTCCCTCATTTTTCTCCTAATTTCCCTCCCCCAAAGTTGTACAGATCATTTCCAACATATTGTCTTGTGCATGTTGCTGTTGCATTGGTTCTCCCTTGTCCATTGGCTCACCATTCTTTTGCTCTCCATCTCTTCCCTAATTCAAATAAATGTTTTTTTTTAAATTTTTTTCTTAGAGTAACTACTTTAGTTTTAAGTCTCATTTTATGGGTGACAAAATAGACATACAGAATTGCTTAGAAAGTAATAATAATTTGGGACAGAGCTGGTATGTGAATCCAATGATCACTTCTGAAGTTGTGTGACACCTATAGAAATGGAAATAAGTGGAAAACAATCCTCCACAGCCCAGTAGCATTCAGTGAGTGACAGGTGGCAAACAGAGATTGTGGCTGTGCGTAGGCAAACAATGCCCAGGATTAGTGGAGGTACAAATTCTAAATTATATCTAAATGCATGAAATGTACCTTTTGAAGTGGAAATCCATCAGGTGAATATGACTGGAAAGTATATTCAAGCCATGTGTACACTCTCAGAAACATGAACACCTGGCCATTCATTAACACTGTAAACATACAGGGAAGTGCCCAGGAACAATTAATTTTCAAGATATTCCCAGGACACTCAGTCTCTATATCAATTGTCTAAGTGAAGAAATCAAATCCTAAGCTAGCAACTGCCTAGCAAAATATATAATTTCATAGAGTGACTGTGTTTTAAAAGGTAACAATTCCAATTTTAACATAAATGTTGTTTGAAAAATGTTTTTGTTTGTTTAGTGTGAGACATTTTTATGAGAGGTTTCACCTCTGTCTCATCAAATTTTCCTTAGTAGACTAAAAACTTCAAAGGATATATTCCACTCATCATAAAACAAGGGAGCAAAATGCTGAGATCAAAAGAAGTACGTAAACTCACACATACAGTGAATGGCAAGCCCAGATTTCATAATTATACTGAATGGTTATTGTCCATTTTATTTTTAAAATGGAAATTTAAAAATCAGAGCATTGAAAATTCAACTTCAACTTCCAAATCTTATTCATCCTTGTAACCATATCACCTAAATGAGATCACAACTAATAGTTTGCCTAATTAGATGGTATTATAACTTTTGATGTCATTAAGGAAACCAAGATTACTTTCAGATGATTAGAGTGGTTCCCCTGAACTTTGCTGAGGAAATGATAGCCAAGCATATTCCAGCTCTTACTGATCCTATCTGCATAGATTTATTCCTTCCATATCCTCACCTAGTTTTGTTCCTCCATGGTATACGTATGCCTTTTTAATGTGTATGTGTGCAAAAATATGTGTATCTCTGCATTTCTAAATAAACACAAACACATGTTGGTATATTTTGTGTGTATGCATACATGAGCATGCATGCATAAATAAATGTCCATGTGTGCACGTGTTTATGTGGATATTAGCACATATATTTGTGTGTGCACAGGTGTACATACCTATGTGAATGTGTGTGGGGAATAAATCTTCTGGGGAATGAACACTGAGCCTCTCACACATGCACCTCTGCTATGTATGCCTTGTCTCTGAGCTACACCTTCAATTTCATGACTATTGTTTTTTTTCATGCATTTAAAAAAATTGTCATAAAGGTGATGTACAGAGTGGTTACAGTTACATAACATTTCTTTAGTTCATCAGTCTCATTTTAATCTGGTGTCTTAAACATATCCATATTATAGAAGATTGTCATTAAATGAATAAATATTTCAGCACACCCTTTTCCCTAGTGTTTTTATGTATTTGACATCTCCATCGAGTTGGGACTGAAAGAAACTGAATGAGTAACTGAAGAAACTCTTTATATTTCCTCTATCTTTTGCAGTTGTAGAAGTCAAAGGGCTGAGTTCATAACCGGCCCCAGTTTATGTGACCATAATACACTCTTATCTGCAACTCTTATGAATGATGATCTTTTCCTCTATTTAAATTCCTCATCCATATTTCTTTGTATTTTATGTGAAGCTATTCTTTACAAACAAACAGAACACTGCTTGTTGGCAGCTTCCTGGTGAGAAACTCAGCCTGTCCTGTTGGGAACCACATCTCCATAATGATACATTTCATATTATATTTAAATTGTCTCTTTTAGTGTGAGAGTGAAATACCTGCGGAGGTGGGCACCATGCTGCAGTAATGAGACCTTTGCAGGAGTTATAACATGAATAAATAACTAAACATAACATTTACTGTTTTCTTTTCTTTTCCTTTTCTCCTATTGTTTTATCCTGTCACAGATTCTCGGCAAACAATATTACTACTTTGCCTTTTTAACCTTTACAAGATGTCAAGTGACAACTTACTCAATTAAATAATGTATTCCATATGGAAGAGAAAATTATTAAAGGTTTAATATGACAGATTATTTTACAGGGAAGGCTCATGGGTCTTTTCTACTTCAGTTGAATCTTGAAATAGCGAGAGTATGTAAACACTCTTTTCTTAATACCCAATCCATAGAAACCACTCAGAATTTTCCACAGCTCTATGTTTCCTGGTATCTTAATGCACTAATCATAAATAAGAAATAGACAAGACCTGACAGGCATGTGCCTTTTGACTGCTTTCATCTTTAATTGTGTTATTTCCTGACTTACACAAAGACGCTTTTTATTTCTGCTTGTATTTGTTGAAAGTAAGCTAGAGCTAGTTCAGCATGCCTGCAGAGAACACAGCAAAACTTCAAAGGAAATGGAAAAACTATATTTTATATTCACTTATAAAGACGCTTAGATAGTTGGAGAATATTTCTCCATCAAACCTCCAAAATCAAAACTCAACTTTGTCTCTGCCATTTACTTTGTAGAAGTATAACAGCATATGGCCAAATTCCCAGGATCCTGAGGAACACTAAGACCTTGCTGCCACATTTTTGATATGGGGCACAGATGTAGTCACTGTATTAGACAACTAATAGTAAAGTGAGCCACAATTTTTTTAACCTAAATAACACTTGCTTTTCTCTCTTCTTTTGTCAGTCTTTAAAAAATGATGAACAGTCTGCTAAAACTGATGTTCAGAAGCTTCTGGAATTAGGCCAGAAACAAAGGTAAGGCTGTCTTTTATTTTTATCTCAGATTTTCTTGCAATGATGTCAAATATTATCTTGGAAATTTATTAAAAAATCATTCATATTAAATGTGTGATCTTATTCATCTTTGTATTTACACTTGCATGTCTATGAGATCTACCTGGCAATCTTAATTAAAAGCAAATTCTTATACAGTAGATCTGGGTTGGGCTTTGAGAGCCCACATTTCTAACCAACTGTTTGGTTGATGATCTTTGTAAACACATTATAAATGGAGTTCTAAGGCCTGTAATACTTTGTTAATAAGTTGCAAGCCTCTCCCATGACAATATGACAGTCAGGCCACATACCATAGCTCTAATTAGAATTTATTGAAAAAGATCAAAATTGATCTTTGGTATAAGGAATGAAAAGTGGTAAAGAAATAGAAAATGCTATTAACAATACCATTTTAATAATAGAATGATGATGCATTATTAAATGAGTTCTTCTGTTTTTAATTGCACATAATTTTGCTATTTGTTTGTATGGACCTGGACGATATTGTGTTATGTGAAATAATTCAGGCACAAATATATATGCTTGATCTGACTTACATAAAGGAAGTAAAAATGGTAATTCATAGAAGTAAAATTGAATAGTTGTTACCAAGGCTCGAATGGTGAAGATGGGGAGAGAATGGAAAAATGTGGTCAAAACTTACAACCAGCTAGGGAAAAAGCCCATAAGATTTCACCTTTAATTAGACAGCAAAATGCTGACAGGAAGCATGGCTGAAGTAAAGTTCTAGCTGTAAACACTAGCACCAGTCAAGCTGAGTTCAAATTCCAATACTAAAAAAAACAATTAAAAATAAAGAAAAGATATTAGAGACATGGAAAAGTTATTATGATAGAACATTTCATATTTGGAAAGGAAAATAATCAAAAATTAGATGCAAAAGTGGTATTAAGTGAAGTAGCCATACCCAAAGAAACATAGGCTCCATGGTTTCCCTCATGTGTAATAACTAGAAGAGGTCTTCACTTGTTCTAGCAGAGGATCACCACAATAGTTCAATAGCTATGTACATATGACCATATAAAATGATGCTAATCAAAATGAACTCCAACATATGGAAACAAAACAAGATATAGAAACAAGTGTGTGCATGTGTGTATGTGTGTGTGTATGTACTGTTTGCATTTTTTTCTTTTCTTTTCTCCCCATGATTTATCTCCTATTGTCATTGTTTTTTTATTCCAATACCCTTAGTTTTGTCTATAAGAGAGAAGGGAAGGGGAATCACAGAAATCGTGAGACAAAGAAGAAAGATGAACCACTGTAACAGTGATACTCACAAGACACTGTATTTCCAATACAGTGTCTTACAATGGGATGAAGAGAGCCAGTGGGGTGGGGGAGGAAGGGAGGGAAAGTGGTAGAAAATGAGGAAGCAGGTAACACTGTTCAACAAGAAATGTACTCATTTTCTTACTTACATAACTGTAACCTATCTACACATAACCTTTCAAATAAAATTAAACTTAAGAGAACTTGAAAAATTTAAAAACCCCACAAAAACCTTGCTGCAACAAGAAGGGGGTTGTAGCACTTGAATGACACAGTGCAGATTGAAGAATGTAAGAAGATACACCTCTGCAGCAATGAACAATAGAATAGTCATTGTAGGTAAATTCCATGGGAAATTATACCATGGAATATATATTTTCTGTCAGCCTTGTTCAGGAGGGGATGACAGATGCATGCAAAGAGAAGACCCTTACTCCAGAAGCAAGGACAGTTTTCAGCCAGGATCATTATATGAAGATTAGAATGGGGTTAGAATTTTATTTTTCAGTAAATTCAGCCTTTCTTCATTAAAGGAGAGAACCAGTTTGTGTCTAATACTATTAGGGAAAAGCCAACTGTGTCAGTTTGCTGATATTTTCTGTAATTATTGATGTCTGTTCTCATGGCATGAAAAAGTACCCAGAAAACCAGGACAATGCTTATTTGCTTTATTGAGAATATTGAAGTCATCACACCATCTACATGTTTAGCATCACAAAGGACTAAACCTTTTAATGGAAGGAATAAACATAAATCATTTTGATCCTGAAATGTAAAAGCTGAATCCCAAATTCTGAAAGTAGTTTAATGCAAATATAATTTTGTGCACATAAAATCAGAATAAACATTTCAATAAATTCTAAAGAAATGCAAGTTTTCAAAAGGGTTAATGATATTTTTGTATAATAGGTATTTGCTAATTACTTAAGAATAGATATAGATCCAGATGCATGTGGCTTTCACCTCTAGTCCTAACTAGTCAGGATGCTGAGATCTGAGGCAGGCAGGTGAACACCAGCCCACCAAGAAAGTCTTAGAGATTCTTATCTCCAATTAACTGCAAAAGCCAGATATGCCTGAGGCCAAAGTCATAGATAGCCTAAAGCAAAAATGCTCAAGGACATAGCCCAGGCCTGACTTCAAGTTCCAGATCTAACACAAGATAGAAGCAACAAAAACAAAAACAAAAAAGAAATGTTTTTTTTAAAAAGGAAACCATGATTATATGACTTTGACTGGGATCAGTATGTTACTAGAGAAAAAGTAAACAATAATTTACAAAGATGATTGATATCTTAATATCAAATAGTAATTATTGTGAAATTTTAGCTATCTTCTATAAGGACAAAGATGTACAATATGCTGTGGCTCTCTTGTAGATCTATATTAGCTCTCAAGTGTTACATTTTCCTCACATCCTTTGTCCTCAGGTCCTTGACATCTGGACTTTATAGTTTGCTCCCAATGGGCCATCCTTCTCTATGCGATGCTAAATAAGCTGAGTTGGCAACCAAAACAAAACTGCCTCAAATTGGGTATCACTTTTGAACCGTGTGAAAACTTTGAGAGGTTTTTGAAAGCCATGACTAGATTTTAAATAACTTGGTGTATATGAGTTGGCCATAGACAGCTATGTGGAGAGAAACATCAGAGTGTACTTCTGTCAAGACTGAGAGAAAAGTGCGTGCATGACACACACTGTCAGATAGGTAGGTAGGTAGGTAGGTAGGTAGGTAGGTAGGTAGGTAGGCAGATATATAATCAGAGAGAAAACATGAATTGTCTACATTTTTAGGATTATTTAGTATTTGAGATAGTATTCATAAAAGAGTCACAACATGATAGAGTCACAACATGATAGAGCTACTAGTGTAGCTTGATGTGAATCTTATAAAGATGCTGTGAACATTATAAATCAAATATATACACTAACGCATACATACACATATACATATAGATACACAATGTAAATCTTAGAGTTTAATATATTTAATATATTATACATACTACTATATATCATATTCATTCATATTATATTATATAATGACCCAAATGTACTTTTTGAAAAGTATTGAAATTAATAGTGTAATCTGAGTTTTGAGTGTTCATATAGGAAGACAGTCTGATTAATGAAATTACAATGAGTCTATAAAGAAAGGTATAATTTAACAACCACTTTAAGTAAAACACATTATTCAAGCACATATGAGTCATTGAAGGGCCAACATGAGACTATAATTGTATTAACATTTTTGTGACTGCATTTTGCTTTACTAAATAAAGTCCAACTTGATTCAGATAAGCATTTAAATACTTAAATTCTTGAATGTTAAGATAAAGAAGATAAAGAAATTCCTAGAGTTCAAAATCGAGGAGCAACTTTAAGACCTCATAGATGTAAAAACTGCTGTGTTTTTATGTACATGATGGTCAAAGTTTGAATATAGAATGCTGGTGATTTGGTTGCAATAGTCTAACATTTGTTCTATAACTTTTCTGAACATTGTGCCATTATTTTTTCCCTTTGTGATCTAAAATGGACTGCAAGATCACAGCATATTTTTATCACTATGCCCAGTTTATGGATGAAGAAACTGAGTATGAAGGAGTTTGTTCTTTGCTCAAGTTATCAGAGCTAGTACTTTTTCAATTAATTAATAATTTTAAACTAGTTTAGGTCAGTAAAACTAGAAAAAGTTCCTGTTTCATTCTTGGTGCATTCTTCCCTAAGAAGAATGCAAATGTGTGAATATATTTCTATTTAAAACTAGGAGGCAGTTTTTGTATGCTAATGAGCTTGAGACATATTGTCTATGTATACAAGGTCATGTGTTTCCTAGAGAATGCCCCTTTAATGAGGAAACTATTGTTAGAAATGCTTCTTTTCCTTTTAAATTGTTTATAAAGTTCTCAGGCATTGTAAAGGGTGTCTAAAGCACCACAGTATAGAATTAATCAGTTAGGAGCACCAGAAGAAAACATTATTTTGTTCTATCAGCAACACTATGCTGACTTCTTCTAACCAGCATGTTCACTCACATTCTGGCATGCTGTAGTGAAATTAGCTTTTAAACTTGAATTAATGTATTGATTTGACTTAACACATTATGTAGCTCACAAATGACCCACACAGTGGAGTTCTGATAAAACACGATAGCAAGGCAAGTTCCTTTAGTACAACTGGATTTTAATATTTTCATGTGAAAGAGAGCCCATATCCTTTTTGTGTACGTTTAGCTCTATAAAATTCGAGTAACCTGTTTCCTAAATGTAGGTAGCGAGCCAAACTTCCTCTTATAATGTATACAGGAAATAACTGTATCTTCATTTTTCTGTCTGTTTTATACTAGAGAAGAAATGAAGTCTCTCCAGGAAGCACTACAAAGTCAACTTAAAGAAACATCAGAGAAAGCTGAGAAACACCAAGCTACTGTAAGTGCATTGTGTTCTTTATGCAATTATTTTGGAGCTGGAAAATCTTTTTTCAATCAATATGGAAAATTGCTCCTATGTAAAGTAAAAATGAAAGCAGAATAAAAAAGTATCAGTTATGACAATACTGATTTGGTTATTACATATCCCGAGCAAATATTAATGTCACATTTAATCCTCAGGAGTCATCTAGTTTTCAATAAATGGTTCACCAATAGGCAGAGGACATAAAGGATGCTGCCTCTCTAAGCATCTTGGCTTTTTGGATATTGTAATAAAATTGCACTGAAATTAAATTGAACTCTGCTGTTCTCTAAGCTACACTCATAACTACTGAATAGTAATATTTTAAGGGCAGGGTTATGCCATCTTTACTATTCAATAATTTATATTGACAATATCAATAATACACCCCTACAAAGGTGAAGGTTGAGCTACTCTGCAGATCTTTTTCAAAACAATGTTTCCTTTCCTGTCCTTTTTCAGCTCCTTCAATAAGTATTCACCAAAAGCAGAAACTAAAGCTTCTGAGGAAATTCTATCCATAGATTTCTGCTCTATTTTTCAGGTCCACCTTTGGCCCAGGTTCAGGGATTGGCCCTTATATATCTGTTTCTAGAACAGGAATCTGATTTAAAGCCTATTTGGTTCCTAAAAGAAGTGATGTTTCACAAAGGCCAACAGATCTTGAGAATGCTACTATTGATAATTAAATGAGCCCAGACAGAATCAATAGATCTTTTTAAAAATATGAAATGTTCAAAATATTTGTTCATATATATATGAATATATATGACATCTTATATGCATGTATAGAATGTGTTTATTTTCTATTTTATTTCCATCAAGTAGCATGTTTTCGAAGACAAATTTCTTACTACTGAAATTATTTCCTACAAATTTTGGTATATAATCATGCAGAAAACTGATTTTTCCTCCAATATTAAAAGTTTAAGCTAATTTAGCATTGTATAACTACATATTTCTTTACTTTTATCAATCACTAATTGAATATTTTCTGTTTGAAATACTATAAATATAAATGAATTTAGGGTTAAAATAAAGAATAGCTAAATTATAATTTCTCACTCTCTCTAAAGAAAAATATTTTACTTTGATTCCACAAGTATTTTGTTCAATTTCACATTAAGGACAGGTAATTCCTAAGCTGCCTCTGAGTACACTTTGGATTTTTATTCCTTTTCCATAAAGATTAAAAAACACAATTCTGTTAAAAATATATTATAGATGCTATGAGTGATAGTGGTACTTTTGCTTATTAAAACTTAAAAAAGAAAGATTATGCATATTTGAATAAATTATAAATCAGCAAATATTTCTTGATCTAATTCTGTTTATTCAAGCATTGCAAGAGACATGAGCGTTTGTTTTTATCCCTAAGCTAGTAATGGAGGGGAATATCTTTCAGCACTGTGTTCCTCATGGGAAACCCTAGAACACAGCAAAGAAAAATAAACTTTCAAGTCTAACAAAACAATTAAGAATATTAATGACCAGTGGATGCTTTTAGCTATTCTTATTTTGGGGGGCTTAATTTATGCTAAGTAACATAAAAATAAGTGAAAGCGAGACCCAACCTTAAAGTTTTTATTACCATTAAGAACAAAATGCCCCTGTTCTTCTATTCTTTATTTGTCTATAAATAAATACTATTTTCTGTCTAGGAGAATTATTTCATAACTAGCTGCTACGAATATTTAAACTAAGGTTGCTAAAATCTGCTGGGATTCTAAACCAGTATTCTCAAAATATTTTTACATATTCTGAATATAGTGTAGGTAATAAATATTAAGTGCTGCATTCACAAGTTTTTGTGTCTGTATTTAACATTTAAAGAATTATATATCTATATGCACCAATATACAAGCAGGATATGGAGAAAATATTGTATCCATGACAGAGTAAGCTATTAATAAAATTAATGCTTCAAGTAGTTCATAGCTTAAAGACAAATCTGTAATCTAAAATTTCTAGGTTTAATAAATGATTAGGTGGAAATGGGCAAAACTATCTTATATGGGAGGCATGTAGATATTTAATTTCAAATGACATTTAATACTTTCATGTTCATCAACAAATACCAACTCTCTACACAATGAGGTAATGAGTGTATAGAATATTTGTCAGAAACCTGTGATGTCAAGCTTTCTTTGTGAAGTAATATGGTTAATACTATAGACACAATAATTCTTCTCAGGCATTTCATGGCTTTTCACCATCAAAATTGGTTGGTGTTTTTGATAGCATATTAAGGTAAGATATGTCCTTATGGTTCAGCAAGGTGTGGGCATTAATAGGGTCTGTAAGGCTTTCAGTGAACCTTTAGCAAAGTCCTTAGGAAGGTCCAGGCACCTGTGGCTCATGTCTGTGATCCTAGCTGTTCAGGATGTTGAGTTTCTTATTGTCCATAAACTACTCAGAAAAATCCTGTGGCTCAAGTGGCAGAGTGCTAGTCCTTTTTTTTTTTTTTTCCATTGTGAAAATACCGTACAGAGGGGTTGCAATTACATGGGCAAGATAACGAGTACATTTCTTATCAAGCATTGTTACCTCCTCCTTTGTTTCTCCTTCCCATGAGTGCTAGCCTTGAGCAAAAAGATACTCATGGACAGAGCCCAGGCCCTGAGTTCAAGCCTCAGGACCAGCAAAAAAAAAAAAAAAAATCCAGAACAACCAGGTATTTCTGCACCTCCACTCACCCATCAACACAAACAAACATGTGCATACACACACACACACACACACACACACACAGTTGGAATAATAATTATGGAAACAGAAAGATTACACAATGAAGGGGGAAAAGTGTTAAGATTTATTTGGATTAGTATCTAAATTGCTCCTATTTTGGGGGAAAAAACATGTTTTTTTCTCAAGCTTGGCCATCTGCTAAACTTATCTGAGAACATTTTAGGAACAGGTATTACTATACTACACCTTAGAATCTATTTTAGTCCTAAGCCTTGAATTTCAGGACCTAAGTACTGTCCCTGAGGTTTTATGCTCAAGACTAGTTCTACCAGTTTGGTCACAACTCCACTTCTATCTTTTTATTTTTTCCTTTGTTGTTGTTGCTTTTTTTAAATGCATTTTTGTTGTAGAAATACTGTATAGTGGGGTTACAGTTACATGAGCAAGGTAATGAGTACATTTCCTATCAAGCATTGTTGCCTCTCCTTTGTTTTTCCCCTACCATCCCTTCTCTCTCACCTCCACTCCCCACCAGCCCCCACCTAAATTGTAAAGTTTATTTCAACCTATATCCCTATCTAAGCATTTTCCCTTCCCCTCTCCAAATTAGAGAAGATGCAGGGCACTGTATTTTTCTTTCTTGCTATTGTTTCTAACGTATTTATAATGTACCATGTGATTTTTGTTTGTTTGTTTTTTTGTATGTTCTTCCCCTACGGTTTTTTTTTTTTTTTTGGTCCTTAATTGCAGATAATAGTCTCAAGGACTTTTCTTCCCAGGCTGGCCTTGAGTAGTGAATCTCAGATCTCAGACTCCTGAGTAGCTAGAACTATATAATAAAAAATATAAAAGACATAGAAATAAGCTTAGAATGTATTTACATAATATTCTATTTATTTTCAGATTAATTTTTTAAAGACTGAAGTGGAAAGGAAAAGCAAAATGATCCGAGACCTCCAGAATGAGGTAAGATTTGTACCTCAGGAGATACGGAGAATACACACAATTGAACACACAAAATTTCAATAAGATTGGAGTATTTATCACAGGCTAACATGACATCCAATTACAGACTAATGGAGAGGAAATGAAAGGCTGAGAATTGCAAACACACACACACACACACACACACACACAATAACATTATAATACTAAAGTTCTTCCTTTTTTTTTCCTCCTGTAGTTATATTCTTCTTGGGCATATATCCTCAAAGATCCTGACAAGGAAAACTAGCTGTAATTGTCCGCATGCTGTCAAGATGCAATCTAGACTGTAAAATGTATTTAGGGCATAATCAAGCCATAACTGCTTTCATGGTAACCATAAACATGGAAGGAAACTCTTATATAAAATGTGCTTTCTCAGGGCCTCCTATTTACTCAGTGGACACTCTTTATCTCTGAACAAATCCTCCAGCCCCATTTTTAACTCATTATTTTTGAGATAAAGATTTACTTGTTTTTGAAGGCTTGGTCCTGGGCTCTTGATATACCTGTTTTATGCATCTCATCATTGATGAGATGATAGAGTGGACATGGTATCAACTTCCACCTGCTCACAAGGATTCTCACAGATTTTATTGCCTGGGCTGGCCTGGAACTGGGACCTCTGAATCTCACCCTCCACACAATTTGAGATGACAGGTAGTTGCCACCCTGAATGGGTTAAGTATGGGCTGACACACTTTTCTGTCTACATGGTATCCAACTTCCATCTGCTCACAAGGATTCCCACAGATTTTATTGCCTGGGCTGGTCTGGAACTGGGACCTCTGAATCTCATGCTCCACACAATTTAAGATGACAGGTAGTTGCCACCCTGCATGGGTTGAGTATGGGCTAACACACTTTTCTGTCTAGACTGGCCTCGAACTGTGATCCTCCCATTCTCAGTGTCCCACATAACTAAGATTACAGGCAGGAGCCACATATTCCTGACTGTAATGATAGTATTTCCTATTTCCACCTTTTTCATCTGTATTGGATGCAATTAGTTAAACCAACACTATTTTATACTCAAAATCTCTGTGATTAGTCCCATTCTTTCACCTGCTTCTTTTGCTCCTGAATCTCAGGACTCATTCGAATTCTGATCTACTTATCTGCCTCTTCAATCGCCAGCTATAAAGCTACTTAATCTTTTCATTTAGTGTTTTATTGTCATTTAAAGAAGTTGGTGGAAGAAAAACATTGCCAAAAATGAAGTCGCTGGTCTATATGCAGATTTTAAGTATTTACAAAAATCCATTGATTGGTACATGGGGATAGGAAGATTAGTAAATCATGTACTTTTAGAGGAATTATAGGAATGATTGTTTTTGGTTATGGCAAAATATATCCCTTGGTCAGAAAGTATTACTAGACTATATAGAGACCTCATGTAATCACTAGGAGAAACAGGAATGTAGCTTGGATGCTAGCTCTTAGCAGTAAAAGTCTATTAGCACATTTCTGGCTTTATCTCAAGGACAGATGATCTCTGCCAGAATCTAGAAGCTAGCAACCTACAAGTCCTCTCCACACCTGCAGCATCCTCTACCACATACCACTACACCCAAAACATAGCTTGTCTTCTTATCTAACATGTTTCTGTATCTATATATCTATATATAGCAAGGTTCATGCCTACTTAGCTGAGAGAAAGTCATTTTCTATCCTATACCTGCAATGATTTTTTTTTAATTTATTTCTGTGATTTGTTTCTGTGATCTTTGTCTCTCTACAGTTTTTTTAATGGAAGTATGGATTTCAAGAATACTTTCCTAATGTAGAAACAAAAATTTTTGTCAATAAAATACTACAGCACATGGCTAGCAGTTTAAGTTTCCAATAGGTGATCACTGAAGAAGAATGTGGAACAGTCCGAGACCAATCCAGAATTCAGTATTTTCTGTTATAACACCACATGTGGACATGGAATCTTACCCATCTTTATGTGGTGATCTTAGCTGTTTGTCTTGTATGTTTCCTCAACTAGATGCAGACTCTTGAATAAAAACCTTACTTTTCATATATGTCATAATCCACTGATTTCACACAATAGTCCATAGCTAGGAGTTTGTGAAAATACATTAGCACCACATTTAAATCTGTTCTTAACCAAATGCATTCATTGAATTAAAGATATCTGAATACTACTTCCAGATTTGGAGATCAAATTTGATTTACTAATTTATTGTTTCTCTGATAAGGTTGTTTAGAAACACAATAATATATTATCCCTGGTATTAAGATTTATCTGACAATTGTAAAGTGATAGCAGTAACACAGTGTATAATCTGTATATCTGTATGTGTGTATGTGTATGTTTATTTGCATATGTGTAGTTTCCCAGGAAAGAAAGGATAAGGTCTAGATTCTTTGAAGGAGTTTGAGACTGATACAAAAACAAAATATGAGTCAGTAATCACTGAAATGGAGGAAATGGATGTGTGTGTGTGAGTGTGTGTGTGTGTGTGTGTGTGTGTGTGCCAGTATGGAGACATTAACTTGGGGGCCTAGCCACTGTCTCTAAGCATTTTCTTTTGGTACAAGACTAACGTTCTACTACTTAAACCACAACCAGCTTTTGAGTAGTAAATTATATATAAGGCTCTCATGAATTTTCCTTCCTGGGCTGACTTTGGTCTACTATACTCAGATCTCTTTCCTGAGTATCTAGGATTATAGGTGTGAACCCCCAGTGCCTGGCTCAAAACTCCAGTACATTTTAAGAAGAATGAGTATTTTGGTTCAATTCTTTGTAACTGTAAATCTCTTTAAGGTGAATTATTCCATCTTCTTGTCTCAGACACACTGAAAAGTGAAAAGGATGGGCAGTTTCGTAATGTGATAGAGTGCTTCAGGTCATCATTTTGACAATGGATTCTCATGCCTGCTTGCAGATGGATAGGCCTAAGAATTTGTGTCAAATATGTGCTAAGCCCAGAGCATGCTCAATATATTTTAAAAATGATTTCATCACAACATTTCCATTTGGTTCCTTGTGATTTTTCTCTCTTAAGAAGTGATGCCTAGGAACTTTTTTTTTAATTGTGAAAATACCATGCAGAGGGGTTACAATTACATGGGCAAGGTAATGAGTACATTTCTTATCAAGCATTGTTGCCTCCTCCTTTGTTTCCCCTTCCCATCCCTTCCCATCTCCCACTCTCCCTCCCTACCCGAATCCCTCTCCTTTCCCCCCCTCTCCCCCCTCCCTCCCCACCCTGCACCAAAGCTGTAAAGTTCTATACAGCTTATCATTCTGATTCATTATTACACCTAAAATACTTATTGTTACCAGTCCATATGAGCTTCTAAGGCTATTTTTTAAATACCAAAGACACAGTGGCATAATATGTAAGAAAGTTACTCTCCTATACTCCTGTATGGTGGAGGCCCGAAACCACCATCAATAAGGCAGCTCTCTCCTCTACTAGCTGAAAAACAATCCTCTTTACTTCTTCCTGTCTCTCTACTATGGCATTCATTGGTTTTCAGTGGCATCCTCTGATCTCTGTTTCTGTCATCATATGGTTCCACTCCTTCTTTTTTTCCTGATCTTTTTTTTTTTATTGTGAAAATACTGTACAGAGGAGTTACAATTACATGGGCAAGATTATGAGTACATTTCTTATCAAGCATTGTAGCCTCCTCCTTTGTTTTTTTTTTTTTTTTTTGGTCCTTAATTGCAGATAA